CACTTTGAATGATTGAATCTGAAAAATAAATATCTATTTATATCATTGTAATGGGTATTATTAAGTGCGAAAAAGTTTAATTCTTTTAGTTTGTTTTCGATCAAAATAAAAGTATTTTCACACCTCACTACGTTCACTAGAAAAATTAAAAATCACAGCAAAATCTTTTTTCGTACGCATGATACCTATTTCAATAACACATATAGATTTATTCAGTTGTACTCAAATTATTTAAAAGCAGGTCTATAAAGTTATTTATTAACCCTGTTGTAGGGTGATTAAGTAACTTTATCACACTACAATAAGACAAATTAGGTATGAAATTTGAAATTTTAATAGCAGGGCGAAAAAGACATATTTTCGCCCTGTTGTAGGTCGATAAAGTCACTTATCCTACAACGGGAAATATTATAGGTGTTATAAATTCTATCAAAATTGAATAAAATATTTGTTGAAGCCTGACATTTTTAGAGTGTAGAGACATACTGTGGCAGTTAGTTCTGTTTCAAGTTCAAGAAAAGTCTCGAAATATTTGAGAAATTGAAAACATTTTCTGGAGAGGAAAACTTACCCGATTTGTTGTTATCTTCTGAAATAAATCAAATTATACATTTTCAAGTTGGAGAACCAGAAAGCAATGAATATCACGATGCTGGAGATTTTAAATTTGCAACTGTAAAACTTAAATGTTGCTAATTTTTCTGCAAACATTGTTAACATTCTAAAATTTCAAAGAATAAACTTTTTACGGGAAAATTTTGACTTTTAACTGCCCCAAAACTTTCCCAAGGTCAAGTAAGATGCCACAAAAACGTTTGGTCCGTTTGGCTAAGGTAGGCCCTCTGAGGGGCCGCAAGCTGCAATGGGGGCCTACTGCCGCGGCTAAGGGGACCGAGCGCCGCGGCTAGAACATGCTGGGGGCCGAGCGCTGCGGCCAGGTCAGACTTGGGAAATTGCGCATTTGGGAAGTTGCCACTTGGAAAAATACCCCTGGGAAGTTGCCACTTGGGAAAAATGGATTGGGAAAGTACGATCGTTTTAAGTAAGTAACCCTCACAACGGTATACCCTTTAAACCTTTAACCAAGTAGCAAGGAAAGAGAACTGTTTTTTCTCTTGCTTTCATTAATCAATTTTCAGCTAGAACCACAGTGACATGGGGATAAGGGTATCGTTGTGAATCAGTCAAGGTACTTTATTTAGAAACGGACTGGTCATTTGAAATTTAGGCTACAGCTCAACACTCTTCAGTTTATCAAAGGAAGGTGAATTTTAGAGAAAGCAATAAAATTCATATCGATTCATTACTAGCCCCGGGTTAAGCCAGTTTACGAGGGTATAAAGTAATGTGATGCCGGTAAGAAAACGTATTATATAGCTTGTGCTGACTGTTGAAAAGTTTGATGAGTCCGAGCTTGATTTGCCGGTCTCTAATTAAAGGTAGAGTAGCGAAAGGAATAGGATCCAATAGGAGGCCTTGTAGTAGAATATGCAGTATATACATAGAGCTTTATGCGAACCTTATGCTCTCACAGGGGTTAACCAAGATGTCAATACAAGTGGGAATTACAACCAGGAATGCCTGATTCACAAGGCTACTTCTTATTCCTTTATCGGATTAACTATGAAGAAGATATTATTGTTTTTCTCTCTGAAAAAGATAACTTTTCTCAGTAGGCTATTTTCTTGGCTCTTCTGTACAACTCTGCATGCCACAGTTTTGCAGAACCCCAATTAAAAATTATCAATTTGAGAATGCAAAATATTTTTTCTCAGTTATTCGGATACAATTGTACATGTCTCTCTTTAGAAGTCCCTTTATCGTGTAAAGAACTGTTTATTTTAGCAAGCATGATACAAATCATTTAACTTTAATATCAGTAGTTTGTCATTTTTCTGTATTTTAACTTTTAATACAATATTTAAAAGTTTCGTTCTTTAGTTATTATCAGTTATTATTTCGTTATCAAGTAACTTAAAATACAATATTCAAAAATGATGAACATTTTTTTATTGTTTCACATCTTAAGATCAAAATCGTCTTTTCCTTTCTAACTAATTTTTTCTTTGAGGGTTCAAGATGCACTGATGATACATCGTCATCTAGAGGAAGGAGCCTGTGCATTAATGCAATATAATGTTTGATGCCCTGTATTTCTACATGAGAAAAGAGTAGTGGAAATAGAATAGTTTGTCTGCCAACAATTTTCAATTATACAAGATTGTTACAATTCCCCTTTCGAGCAATACAGGCAAACAAGTGTTAATTAATGATCTTTGTCAGCTGTGACTATGTTGATCTATAAAATTAGATTAAACTTCTTCCAAATTTGTGAAAGATAAGACATTTTCAGGTCTATGATGGTCATTACCTATAGGTTAAATTACCTCTGAACAAGAATTCTGTTAATATTAGATAGATAATCGGTTGATCAACATAGATGATTTTTTTCTAAATTCAATTACTTTTTCCTTGATTCTTGTTGATATTAAAGGTAGAAAAACTTTTGTATAGAAATGTCTTGTTAAGTTGGATTCAAAAAAAGTTTAGCAGAATGTTCTTTTCAGTTTATTGAATTTAAACTTTTTAAAGTTAACTGCAAAACTTGAATCTAGAAATTCTAAAATAACTTTTGCAAAAAATGTTGTCTTACTTTTCTAGGAATTTTTTAATCACAGATTCCAATAAACCACATCCATACAGCCTACCTACCTACCTACCTACCTACCTACCTACCTACCTACCTACCTACCTACCTTCCTACCTACCTACCTACTTACCTACCTACCTACCTACCTACCTACCTACCTACCTACCTCCCTACCCACCCACCCACCTACCTACCTACCTACCTACACATAGATCTGCAGAAAGCTGGGAAAATTTGCATAGATTTTTCAGACTGGGTCAATTTTGAAGTGTCGCAATGCCTTGGCATTTGCTTTTACCTGACCAAGTCACAAATTACATTTTTGTACCTCTGTAATTATACATTTTAGAACCATAAAGCACCTTTTTTAATTTAGAAGTAATTAGCAAAATGTTCATCTATGTATTGTTGTTAGAGAGTTTTTAACCGTTGGAATACTGTGCCTCTGATATAGTTTAAATAAAATCATTTGACACTGTAAAAATGTGTAAATAATATAATACATATTTTGTAATGCAGAATGAAAAAGAATATTAAGAAACTAGCTTGGGAACCCAACGTTGCCCAGGTTACTCATAGTTACTCCCGCCGTTTACCCGCACTTGGTCGATTTTACCAGGAAATTGAATTTTCGAAACAAAAGTCGACCCTACACTAGTCGACCCTACACTAGTCGACCCACTTAATTTAGAATCTCAAAATCAGCCTAAGAGCATTCCAGCACGTGCAGCTCTCCCAAATTCCCCATTTCAAAATCTGAGGAAAATCGATCTAGAGGTTCCTGAGTTATGATCTGACACACAAACCAACGGACAGACAGACAAACAGAGATTACAACTTTACATATACATAGTTTTTTACCAAAATATTAATAAACTGTATAAACGGGTTAATCATGTGTGTACAAATATTTTTCAATTAATAAATAAATTGATTTATTATTAATCTCATGAATAAATAGAATCATGTTAATATGATATTACCATTAGTTTATGATCCTTCAGGGACTGTTATTTATCTAGTGACACTCCTCAGTTTGCTGAATGTTGACAAGTCCGATTCACAACAGTACCCTTAAAAGCTTATATTCGGCTTATTAAGAATAAATGGGATATCCATGATTATAAAAAAATATTTTAGTTTTAATGGCTAATTAAGCTTCGTTACTTATAAAATCGTTAAATTAGCGGAGAAACAAAGTTGCCATTTAATGAAGAAAAATCGTGCAAAAGTTTAAGCGCTGAAATTTCGCAAAAGTTGAAAAAAGCGCCCCAATCGTGCATTAGTTTAAGAAGGGCATTTGAAAGTTAACCAATCCCGGACTGCGAGGAAAGAATGAGTTTAATGCAATAGAATCGATAATTTTAGCAATTTTTGGCGCAAATGGCGCGTGTTTTTTATTTACACGAAATTCCACATTGTTTTCGCTTCTTTTCTCAAAACTTATTTTCGCGAAAAAATGCTAAACACGAAAAAAATATTTCGCGAAATTTCACGAGGGTTTTCTTTCAATGGAAATCCTAGAAAAGAGCCAAATATGGATATATTTTTTTATGAGAAATATGGAATCATGAACAGAAAGTTCAGAAAGTTTAAGAAAATTCCTTCAGTTTTGAGTGACACCTTAGAGTTGAAAATATTTGAATGATTTAAAGATTTAAAGATTTTACAAAATGAATGGTCTTTATATTCTGTATCTGATGTTAGATGGTTGGATGGTTGGTAGCGTTATCTTGAAACTGTTCATTAGTGAGGCTATTGTTGAACCCAAGAGAACTATTTAACTTGAAATGGAATATAATCTTTCTAAAGCTCTCAATTTAAACTTAATTAAAAATACATTTCAACACTTTGTAACTTCAAGTTTCAGATGTAGATAGAATTTATTTAAGTAGACTCTCTTATGTAAAAAAATACACAACTTATTTCATGGCCCCCAGCCCCTCCTCCTTTCTCATCACTGTTACACACCCCTGGCCCTACGCACCCCCGCCGGATGTTGCCCCCCCCTTCGCCCTAGATGCCCCTCTTAGCTTTATTGAACCCCTGCTCCTCCTGTTGATCTGTGTAACTCTGGTATATACTGTGCTCCGCGGCCCCGGCGCTACAAACTCCGATACCGGAGTCGAGCACTAGGCTACAGTCTACACTCAACACACAGTATACAGTATACACGTGGAATACAGCTTGTTAACATACACTCACAATCCTTCATATACACACAACCCCTCACACAACATACACAGCTACCCTCTACCATTCTTCACACATTCATGGTGTTCAGGAGGAATAAGGCCCGCCAGTGAAATAAATAAAAAAGAATTTAGCATAGCAAAATAGACTCTCAAAGATGTTGATGCCTACCAACGTTGATTCTAGCCTACAGAGCCTTACAAGCGGGGGGCCTGCATCTACTGTGCTAACCCCAACATCTATAGCTAACCTACCTACAGTAACAACTACTATTCAGGTAATAGATAGATAGATCGAATATTCGAAACATTTTGCTAAAATATGAGAACATTTTTTTCACCTAATTCATGAACTCGTTGGATCGTCTCTGTAATCTCATTCTTTGTGGGTAACCCTGTATTCTGTCTCAACTCTCAATCAACGTATTTTCGAAATGTTTTTACTTTTGTAACAGTCGAATATTAGACAAAATGTAAAAAATCATTTTGAAAAAATATTTTTCCAGCTTGATTTTAAAGACTCTTGAAAAACTTATTTTAATAAAAAAAAATTAAACTTTACTGTAAATAATAGAGGAAAAGTATGAAAAATAGAAAAAAGGCAAGATTAAGTAAAACAAAACGTTTAAAAAAATATCATGTATTATAAAAAAAGCTCTTTGCTCTGTTGTATATATATATATACGTATGTGTCAGCTTATAGCTGGCCAAACGGCAGGGCCAAATTGGATGAAACTTGTTGAGGAAACCCATGGGTATCTTGAGGGCTAAAAATTC